ATCGTCCATATCCAAATTCCTTTTTTCCTCAATTGTTCCAAGCATAATCTTATTCAATGACCCCGACATGGCTTGATGGTCTTGACGATATTTTCGTTTTAATTTCTAAAGACTTGCCTCCTCGCAGTTTATAATTATAGTCTTGCTTAACGTATCATTTTTACAGGGAAATCATCTATCACGTACACAATATCTTCGCTCTCATTACTGCACGGTAGGTGCTTTACTATGCTTCGTTGCGGATAACTTTAGGAAGGCACAATAAGCGCCATGCATCGTGGTGGTCACACGGGATATAAGGACGATTAACACGCCTCAGCTCCTTCCTTCCCAACCACCACCAGATGTCATTCCTTGGGCGGCGTACCACCCGTAGGGCCAATACCAACGCCCAGAATGGTACCTCAAGCAATGTTCCTCCCCCTCCACAAACAGATTCCCCGCCCTCTGAGCCAGACCAAGAGAGCGCTGCCGCTGCCATCAACCAGACGGAATACGCTAGGAGATGTCGGCAGGTCATGGAATTGTATCGCGCTCTTCAGGACCTAGGGTTCGTGGGTGCCACCTCTTTCAGACGTATACTTATACAGCCATCTATCACAGTGCCGATAGACTGTTTCCAACGCTGCCAAAGATCATAGTTATCGGCGGTCAATCTAGTGGGTCATTTCTTGATATCAATACGCAAGTCATATTGATCCACGTCTGTGATCAGCTGGAAAGAGTTCACTGGTAGAAGCTGTGTCTGGCGTACGCCTATGCTTTTTTCTTGCCTGTTACGTTCTCTCATTCTAATCTAGATCAATGTACCGAGGGACAGTGGTACTTGCACCAGGTAAATGCACCCCAATCATTCCCTGCGCGATCTCACTCCTTTCCGAGGTGTCCGATGGAATGCACGATGCTGAGTTCATCCCCCACGTGGTCGTGCACGATCTACCTCAACATCAAGTATGGGTCAGATGGTAGCGAACTCGCCATCCCGAACAGGATTCGGTTTGGGCCAGATATCACAGACAGGGAGGTAGTCGAGTTATGGATCCGCCGAGCTCAAGCGGCGATCCTCGGCTATCATCGGCGTGCGAAGCAGGATTTCTCCAACATGACCGCGGAGGAGCTCCGCAATCTTGTTACGACTGACTCACAGATGTTACCTTTCTCCAAGAATATCGTTCAAGTCGAACTCAGAGATCCACTGTTGACGGATCTGTCGTTCGTTGATCTACCCGGTATGCCGCTCTCATCTTGGTCTCCGTGTCCTGACTGTTACTTTGGCAGGGATTATTCACAATGCGGAAGAAGAAACTATCACACTTATCAATGACTTGGTTACATCCTATATCGAAGAATCAGACAATACAATTGTCCTTATCACCATTCCGATGAGTGGTGCGTTTTTTCCTCTGACACTACGTATGCCCTTCTCATGTCTCTATAAGACGATATCGAGAATCAGGCCGCTGTCAAACTCGCCAAGTCTCGGGATCCCGATGGTGATCGCACAATCGGTCTGAATCTTCCTTTCTCCTACTTTTACGATTGACCCTCATCGTTTTGTACAGGAGTGTTGACCAAGCCGGACATGCTGACAGTAGGCGCCTCTGGTGCGCGTCAAAAGTGGAGGGAGATCATTCTCGGGCAAGAAGAGAAGCACAAGCTCAAACACGGTTACTATTGCGTTCGTCTCCCGGACGATGATGAGCGCAGGCGCAAGATTTCGCGAGACGAATCACAAGCATTAGCTAAAGTCTATTTTGAGAAGAATTCTCCCTGGAAAGAGTTCGTCGACCGCAGTCGTTTTGGTATACCGTCACTTGTGCATGATATCAGCCGGCTTTTAGTCAGGCTTATCGAGAACTAGTACGTGTTTTTTTATTTGCGTGTACTTGGGCTCATTCTCTTTTCTTTCAAAGTATCCCAACCTTGAAGAAAAGCGTTGACGATATCCTCGCGAGCGATAGAGCGGAGTTGAGCGCCCTCCCTCCACTACCGCCTACTGGCGAGGCTTGGGCCCAAATTACCCTTCTCATCCATAAGTTCTGCGTTGACGTCCAAGCCGCCATCGAGGGGAAGGAAGAGCACAAGGGTCTCGTACAGCGCAATCGCGCTAGGTACGCGCAATTCAAACGCGATATCCTCGGGACGTGCCCCAATTTTCGACCATTCGAAGATAAGACCCAGTATCGGGATCCCTGTATCCGGGATGAGGAGTTCGAAGGGAAGGACAACCCGTACGCTCACATGGCTACGTCCGAATATGTCATGGACATCAAGGATGTGAGAGGGGAAATTGAGAAGTGAGTGTGCTTATTGCTACGTTCCATCTTACTGAGCTTGTCGTGTAGCTGTACTTCGTGGGAGCTCCCTGGTGAAGTCCCATTGGAAACGACACGTAAACTCATTGAGCGTTTTACAAAGCAGTGGTCTAATCCTTCAGTGGAATGCTTCGAGGCTGTGTATGACACCTCGTTGGCGTACATTCAGACGTTGGTCACGCAGCGGTTCGGACAGTTCAAGCCTTTAGAGACGCATGTCAGGTGCGTTGTTTGTCTTCCGTCCTTTATTCTGAGGCTTAGGTTCTGCCCAGCACACTTGTGCGCGCTCAGATGGAGATGTGCAAGAGCGAGGCCCTCGTCATACTCAGCAAGGCTATCAATTTGGAGACATCTCCCATTTTTACCCAAGTACCTCAATACTCGATGGAACGCTCCAAGTGGTTCAGGAGGTTGTATAGGGCCTATAGGGATCCTCACAGCTATGGCCTATCCGTCTCAATGCCTTCTGCTGTTCGCGAGGCAACAGAGGACGAAGAGGCACTCCTCGTAATGGCTAAAGTCCGAGCATATTTTGAGATAGCATACAAAGTCTGTTGTGCTTTTCTCCACACGCTCCTTCCTTTGCTGACTCTAAGCGGTATATAGCGGTTTATTGACAACATTCCGCTCACCATCGAACATGAGCTTCATCACTCCCTGTTACATCACTTATCTGAGAGTCTTATTCAGGACATGGGAAGACCAGATGGCAGCCAGAGGGCTAAGGAAATGCTTCGAGAGGATCCAGCGATTGCGTCCAGGAGGCAAATCTTGAAAGACAGAATTGCGAGGTTGGAGGAGATAAGGAAGAAGCTTTACGCATTTAGATGATCTTACATATGCGCTTGAAATGTGTGTAATTCCGTCTTTTCGATTAAGTACTTGAAAATATTACCTGTGATCCTGAATTCCTGACCTGTGGAACTACGGCATGAGGTTATTTGCTCGAAGCATCATCAGGAAGTCTACTCGATCATACATCCACCCCTCTTCTGAACTGCACAGCATTCATTTCTATCACATTTGTGATTTTGAACACAGCTTAGGCGAAAAAAGAGCCGACAGGTGCAAAAAGCAATGCCTCCATCCAGGGAACTTTGGGGGTCCGGGACGATGCAGCATCGCCAAATCTCGTGCAAAACAGGACTGTTATGCCTGATGCGACGGCACAACCGGCACGAGCACAACTGTACAGAAGTCCCGTCAGTAAATATTTTGCTCCAAGCTCCGCTGACCTCGACGAATGCTACCAGCCACAACTCCCGAGTATTGTAAACTCTCACCGCATCCACCACCATGTTCTTCTTTTGACGCCAGTCGCGGACAAGGTGCGGGTCAGACTCGACCACTGGATGTGACCGGTGTGTACTCACCGGTCCGTGCTTGCAAGCTGCCAGGGTTGGGAATGACTTGAGCCTATCACTTCTATGGCTGTACGACGCGCAGAGTTATGCAACGATAATGTCTTCATCTCTGCCAATATATCAGGTTCATTATCTCCATGCTTACCGTGGACGGCTAGGCAATCAAGAGGTGGCAAATATGACACGATTTGCGTGTAACCTCCCATGCGTTAATGCAGAAGATTAGACGGGTTAGGTACGTCGTGATCCTTTATTCCTACTAACCTTTGTAGGTCGCTTGATCACCGAGACGGCGGCAACGGACGATGCTGCGCAGGAAGATAATTGAGGACTAGGACGGATGGACGCAAGGTTCGTGACTCTAGGTTTCATCTTGTCTAGCCAACTGACCTTGTGTATGGTTCATCCTGCCCCCCGATGCGTCTTTTGCCATTCCAACGACCCTCCCGAGTACGAATCCACAGCCGAGCACGGGACGTCTTCCCCATGGCCATCGATTTCGTGCACCCTGTTGGCTTATAATGAGCACAAGGGGCCGTCGACGACAACAGCTCAACGGGTCGTCGAGTCGAATTTGACCACAGCATATGTTGCCCGAGTTTGGTTCAAGGTTGAGGGCAGGGAAGAGTGGCCAGGAGCGAGCCAGAGTCATGACTAGTTCGCATGGAAGGCGGAGGGTGGATGCGGCTCGGGGAAGGGATGAAGGTCGTCGACGGAGGAAAATTTATGGAGGCAGACAATGATAGATTACACCTTGGGGTCAGACATCATCGAGGCAGACATGAATAAGCTAATTCGTTTGGGACAGAGCGATACAGACACGTATTCTAGTTTTGATCAAACATTTCGACAAAGTTCTTGATAAAGTTGTAAACAGACGGCGTACCCGTTGCACGCAAAAAATTGAATAAAAAACACGGTTCTGATCATCAAGGGCATCGAGAGCTGGAGTAAAAGGTACCAGGCGCTGCTGGAGGAGGTCAATGGTTGCCACGTAGGTATTGATTGAGTTGAATGCGATCCCAGTTTCTGCGCATGCAGAAACATTAGCAAAGTTGCCTCCCAAGTACAAGACAAGAAACGCACGGTCAAGTTGACATAGGTTACAAAAGGTTTGCCAGGCTACCAGTGGTTTCTTGGAACGACGCTGGCGACCAGTGGGAATGGTGTACGGGACATCAGTCTTGGTAAAGTACTCCCAGCAAGGGTTGATCATGATGAATACAACGAAAGCTAGTGGTGAAGAGCGAAGATTCAAGATGTGTGCGGTAAGCGAACGGTGAAATAGAGACATGGCTATTACAAAGGCCCGTTATAGTGGGCTCTTGTGGCGTAGTGGTAGCGCGTCGCACTTGTACTGTTTCCAATAGGTTCGGTGGAATGCGAAGGTCACTCGTTCAATCCGGGTCGGGAGCATTCGTTTTGGCGGTCTTCCTTCTCTTGAAGACAATAAGGTTTTTAAGACGTATCTAGGGCTGCGCACGAGACCTCCAGGGTGGGGTACGATACCGTTTTGTACCCACCTTCCCTCAGGGGTTTCTTACCGATACGGTTACTTACCGTTTCTTACCGGACACATGACCACCGCGGAGCAATTTTTCAAATCCTTCTGCGCGACGCTATGTTGTCGCATCGTCATAGCTCAAATCCTAATGAATTCTGTCCTGACACCAATCAGAACTCTCTGGCTACATCTTCTTACATCTTCAAACTCATCCGAGTCTGTGATCTCTTCTCCCTAATCCAAAATCAAACAGAGGTTGCGAGTCCGGACTGCTCTCCAAAAATTTGGCGGAACAGTGTCACGTGGGTAGTAAGTTACCCTGAACAAAAAACCCTCCACCGACCTGTGGTATCTTACCAGCAAGCAACCTGTAACTTGAAACCGGGGTGTATCAAAACTGGAGGTTTCGTGCGCAACCCTACACGTATCATACGTAAGTATGAAAATAGTAAGACATCTGCCCTCTGTTCCTTTCTCCCGGTAAATAAATGGCAAGCGCAGATACCAGGACTTCCGACAAACCGGACTGGAACTTGCGGCGTTATCATTCATATGGGTCACTTCTATCAAGATGCGGGTAAGAAAGTAAGCTGGAATGTAAAATCTTTGCCATGAAGGCTGAATATCTTTCTAGGCCTATACCAGCAAGTCTTTCAGCGTTGATTAGAAGACGCATCGCAAAACATCTTACTCGTGTTCTCGCTGCCAACACAAAAGCAAACAACAACGCAACGAGTGTTGCCATACATCCAGTAATGATGACAGCCACCGTACGCGCAACGGGGAATTTCCCTTCCGTCAAAGCTACTTGAACGGAGAAATACCTCGACACCCCAACGGCAAGGATCCCCAGAGCTAAGAGAACCGTTGTGGCTCCAAGGGGTTTAGCGTATCCCTGAACGGTAGCGCTGGTAGGCGAAAATGAGGCGCTCTGCATTGCGATGGAGAACAGTTGGACGAGAGCGACGCCGGTAGAGGCGAGGACAAGAGAGGTTCTCACATACGCAAGGAATGTCCTCTCAGAGGCGAGGTGATCCCTTGCGACGGAGCCGTTATTCTCCAGTGTCAGGCTGACATGCATCGTGAAATATTACGTCCTCCTCCACCGCTCCCTGGGCGCTTTATAGCGTTGTCTATTCCAAATCATGTACCTTATATATCCCGTCGTGGGATAGCGAGTTCAAAGTCGACCCGTAATAGGTACCGCGATTAAGGAGGTGGCGTGGCGACAAGCCTTACGGATACTGCGCTGACCCCAAGTATTACACTTCGAAGTTATGTAGAAGACTTTCAGCTTAGTTATTCAAAAATGCAGCTAATATATATGCTCACATAGGCAGATTCATGAACTTGAAGGCAGGCCTGCGGTGTATTCACGTTCATTACAGGCAATTCTGTCCGGACCGAAGGCCATGTGCCATTGTCGCCGGGTATATTTGTGTGACTAAAACCACGGAACGGTGCGGCTATAAGCTCTAGTGAACCTTTCAATCATCGCCAACGCTCGGCCGTAAGTTTCCTACGTATTCGCAAGGTCCTCAGTATATGGAATCGCTTCAATTGGCATATTAAGGCCGTCCTATCGTACCGTCCTGTATCGACTCGGATGCGATGAGCTAACTTCTAGTTATACATACTAAACCTTACTCACGCAACATATCATTTTAATGAAATGTGAGAATCCGGGGTTTTACTAGGAAGATTTCAGTCAGCCGCTCCACAATGTGCATTGCACATCGACATTGAAGCCGATCTCTTCGTAAGTTAGATATAAGCATGGCCCGGATTGTCTTTGCTTCGGATACGGGTTGACTGAGTTGATTGGCACAGATAAGAGAATTTGAGAGAATAGAGTTACGTACCTTCTGCAGTAAATAATTGAACCCTCTTCCTCTCCCTGTGCTAATGGAATTCAACGGAGACTACGGAAGATGCTTACGGAAATGGGCTTACCGTTTCGCTAGTACGCTACAGGGAGCGTTGCCAGGACATTTACATAAAAGGATTGGTTGCGACTGTGTCATCGGGTGCCAGCAGGAGAGCAACTATCATAAGGCTCTTTAAGTTTGCGAATGGAGTGACAATTCCTTAGGTTCTCGGCTTTCCAAGAGTTGTCCGATACCACGTGATCTAGCCGAACTTTAACAGGCCGCAACCATCATCCTAGGACCTAGACTCTTTTTCTGATAAGTATCCACTGTACAGGTTGCCTATGTTACTAATCTATGCGCCTTCATACCATTAGCTTCTGGGAAAATAAGTATCTTCAGACTTCTCTAGATATTCTATCCGCACTCCAGAGCCTGGGCGGCTCCGAACATCGGCCACTTTTGTTTCATTCACAATGAACATGGGTTATTTATCCTGTGCTGCTTTGTTCTTTGACCCCAGTGCCACCCACGGCCTATAAACCACAATTTTGAAGCTTTTGTCCTTGGCCGTCTTCGATTTTGTCACTGTGACTAGTGGCACAAAAAACGGGGCCCTATAAAATGCCCACAGCCGTTTTACACTTCTCTCTTCTCGAAAATCTTAGGGCAAACTCTGATCTTCCTAACTATGGCCTACCCTGCTTTTCAGGCATCTAACTCACACTCGAGCGCTCCATATCCTAACTACGACGACTACCAAGGCTTTCCCAGATACGCAGAGGGAACGGGGCACGGTATTTGCAACGCTCTTTTCTGAACGTGAAAAGGGAAATAAACCATGGTCACTAGGTCCGGCTGGAAGCGGATACTCTTTGGGGGACCCGATTTATGAGCATAGACTTGGTCAGCCACACGTATTTGCCTTTGCAACACATATTTAAGATTTTACAGTCAACGCTAATCCGTACCGTCCACTGTACGAAACGCGAGTGATAGATCTGCATCAGGACATGCTCGATCTATTAAAACACCACAACGCGAAGGTCTTTGCTAGTATTGCAAGTCTCACGTATGCCGTGCATCGAGTGAGTTTGCATCACACATTTCCAACACAGAACTTTTCAATCCGATATGCAGCAAACCAATTATTACCGTTTGACTGGTGAATGTATCCCCTTTGAGATAATACCCTTTGCGAATGGCTCGATGCCTAATAAATATCCTGTACGGAATTGAATTGGTCTTGTTGCAACTAACCTTTTTTAACTGTTCTATTCTTCCCAGCATCTGCTTCCGGCTCTGACTAGCGTACATGTCGTAAACGCTCTCACCCTGGAGCAGCTCATTCATTATTGCTCTGGTTATAGGATAGCTCATGGCCCCCAAAACATAGAGCGGATGATCGTCGACTTGAAGGCATATATTGGCTGCGACCCTTGAGGCTGAATGTTGGATGTCACCCTTATACGAATAATCCATCCCAAAGACTCGCAACTCCCTATGCTATCGTGTTCTGCTATATTTAACTTTCAACGTACATTGTACTTTACCTACACACTTCCTTATGGAACAAATATCATGTATTAACATCTACTTCGCGACAAATCCCGGTAGCCACTTCTCCACATAAATTAGAAATGAATTTTGCACTGCAACAACGGTATCGTCGGGTGCGGCAAGCGCGATCACCAAATCAGTACAATGGAACCCGTTCGAGAGACCGATAGGTTGATCGTCGGTGCTCACGACCGTACTATTCACAGCGGATACTGTCCCCTCTCTCCACGGATCGCCTGGTGGATGTCAGCATAGGGACACATATTGTGAAGTCTTTGATGCGTACGTTTTCCATTCGCAAAGAACAGCCTCGTGTTCTTGACGCCCCACCCACCATACAAGGCATTGATGTGGTCAGCGTCGGGAAGCGGAGCCGTAGAGAATGCTTCAGGAAAAGTGGTTACACAATCTTGCTAGACAATGAAATGAGTCCGGATTTCTGTCAGCTAGCCCCGGTAATATGAAACTAGCAGACCAAGACTAACCAGGTCATCTTGCCACTTGTTAAGTCTTGAAACGATACCACCCTGTCCGATGGGCGGTCCGTCCTGCAACGGTTCGTCGGTTTTGATCGTGGGGTGTTGTGAGAAACCTACCAGGGACTCTTCAATTTCATTACATCTACATGTCAGCATGAGGCATGATTCGAATACCACCGTGAAAATAATGCACTCTAACCAGAACCATGAGCGATACGTATCACCAACAGGGTAGTCGGCTCTAGCTTCGAACTCTTGAGGGATGGCTTGTTTGTCGGGAATAGCCGCAGGAATCGGTGGCCGGCGTAAGGTACTAGAGCACGGTCTAAAAGACGATCTCAGAGATCAGCTCGAGAAATGTTCACCGTAAAGGCATCTTACCCATCATCATCAATACGATCTAAATAAAAGTCATCAGCAAGTAGACTAGGGAGGGATCAATTATAACCGCGACTAGCCTACATCAGCAGCGTAGTTTACGGAGAACCATTTAGCCCAAGCCGAAAGCGCGTTGTCCACTCCCCATCCATTCTCAGACGCCGACATTCCATTCTTCACCTCAAGCGCATCGCAGAATTGGTAGAAAGCTGCGCCAGGGCCCGTATTGGGCTGCAGATCCTGCCATGTCCACAGATCCCATCTTACTGAAGGCACCATCAGAGTCAGAAAGCGGGATAGACACGAGGAATACCCACGAGCTTGTGCCACCTCCAAGTTAGACGAAAACCCGAACATCCTTTGGATCTCCTGTTGGGATTGGGTATCATTGCTAGTAAAGACTCCGTCGACGTAGGTGATGACAGCTTCAACATCAGCGGAACAATTCTTTGGCATGTTCTCTCGAATGGGTTCGTAGTACTGCCAGAAGTCTCTACGAACATGTGTCAGCTCGTGGAAAATAGTAATTTAAAGGTCTACCAACAGCTCAACTTGAACGACTGCTGATGATGCATAGCCGATCCAGAAGATGTCGGGGTGTCTATATACGACTTGTCAGTGCTGAAG